CCGGACTGCCGTACGTGGGCTGAGGAGGGGACTGTTAGTGACATAAACACCTTTCTGGTTCACGGAGTGAGAGTTCCATGGAGTCCAGATTAAGAAAGAACCATTGCAGCCTTACTCTCATTCGGCCAGTTGGCCACCCCACGCAAACACACACTGGGCTTACCACGCAGTCCGTGTTATCTCGTCAGTTGGCAATTTTTCATACCATGGTTCTTAGCGCATCGCGTTATCTTCAAAGGCGTTCGATTGTTTGTAGAGAGTAAAGTGCGCTTATGCGTTGACTTCACCCTGGATTCCTATTCCCAAACCCCAAATATTATTCAAGCCGGTCAGTTTTCTAATCCTTACTATTACTATCACCAGGACTACTACTAGTGTTACTCACCGAACATGCAATCTGATTCACCTCTACTACAATATCCCATGCCCACCAGGTTGTCTCCTTACTAAAGATATGTGGGTTCATACAAATTTGCTCCAAAAGAAATTCCTACCTTGCGGTTTCATGACCGTAAGGATAAGTAAACATACGAACAATTAGTAAACTCTTAGAAACCTACATACTCCGATTCCATGGAGTAATTTCCGACAAATTAGGTGCAACAAATTCATGTTTCTGTGATTGTTTGAGTGGATTTGCAGCACCGTGACACATCAGCGCAATGAGTACATATATTTTTATGACTGATTTTTACTTGTTGTTCATCTCAAAACCAACTTGCTATCATAGGGATGTACTTTCACTACCACACAACTTAACGGCCTAACCCAAGTCCTGTTAACCTTTCAAGAGCCCATTGAAATATGTTTTACGAGCGTCTATAGGTCCAACAAGTTTACTTGTACCTGTAAACCACTGTGCGCGCCTGCTAAACACCGAATCTCTCCCGTCGGCTCGATGATAGTGGATCACTGGTAGAATACAAAATTCACCGGTCTTGTTTGCATATAGACTTGCCGCCAATTTGCCCCCCTCTCCCACGGCTTATTATTCTCTGCACTTTTTCCCTAGGTCGAATTCAATTTCGGAAAGTCAGACTACTTGCCGACAACTTTCGTCCCGGGAACCAACGAATGGTTACTCCTCAAGTACGTATGATTCATTACTAACCAATTAGATGCTTAACTTTTAACTTCTGTTTCGTCCAAATGTATGGTGCATTTTTTTGCCTCCGTGCTGCAGGCGAACCGTTGAGGAAACTGGCTACCTTTTCGTGAAGAGGAAGGCAGAGGTGCGAACCCTAGACGAGTTTGAACAGTGGGTAAGCCTACCTTTCTCCATGTTTAGCTTATATGGCCTGTTCTATTGCGCTTGCATTTGCAGAAACGTCCTTTCCAATAACGCACTCTTGGCCTCATCTTAAACACTCGGACCATCTTCCAAAACTGGAATTCGTGCTAAGCCTACTTCTTTCACACCACCACAACGGTTAAATTCCCCAAATGGGCCTTCTTATTTGTTATTTTGCTCTGTAATCGCTCC